TAGTTTTGACGGTAACAGTAGTCAGATAAGGCTACAGGTAAAAAATAAGTACTGGCTGTTGTTGACAAGCATATTCAGTTTATAAACATATTATTCATATTTAATTCAGTGATTGAAATTATGACCCCATCCTCAGTAGCCTATTCCAACAGGCTATTGGGAAACAAGCTCATCTTACTTCGAAATCGCCTTGCTATTCATGTTGAATAAATTAGTCTGTTAATTTGAATTAAGCAAGCTGCTAAATCGTTCAGTTTACATCTTGCATACATCTTGCTAGGCTACTGTAGCCTATCCGAAATTAGATTTAGGCCTATCAGGGGCTATAGGCTACCTGCTTTTATCCAAGCAAACTATGGCAAAGTTGAATTACAATCATAAACCCAGATTTTAGTGTGTTGCCCATGCCTATTGAAATGTCAAGTCAGTCTCGCAAATGGGCCATTTCTAACAATTTCAGATCCTCTGTCCAACTTTCATCACTCAAACTCTCCTGTCGGATTTATAGTGATGCACATGTACAAAAATGATTTATTTACAATTATAAACCTGGTTCTAGCCCTGAATGCTGATTGGCTGAAAGACGTGGTATATCAGACCATATACAGTGCATTCGGAAAGTATTCAGACCCCTTAAATTGTTCCACATTTTGTTACGTTACGGCCTTATTCAATCGTTTTTTCACTCATAAATCTACACACAATACCCCATAATGACAAAGCAAAAACAGGTTTTTTAAAAATAATAAATATAAATCTGAAATATCACATTTAAATAAGTATTCAGACCCTTTACTCAGTACTTTATTGAAGCACCTTTGGCAGTGATTACAGCTTCGAGTCTTCTTGGGTATGACGCTACAAGCTTTTCACATCTGTATTTGGGGAGTTTCTCCCATTCTTCTCTGCAGATTCTCTCAAGCTCTGTCAGGTTGGATTGGGGAGCGTCGCTGCACAGCTATTTGCAGGTCTCTCCAGAGATGTTCGATCGGGTTCAAGTCCAGGCTCTGGCTGGGCCCCTCAAGGACATTCAGGGACTTGTCCCGAAGCCACTCCTGCGTTGTCTTGGCTGTGTGCTTCGGGTCGTTGTCCTGTGAACCTTTGCCCCAGGCTGAGGTCCTGAGCGCTCTGGAGCAGGTTTTCATCAAGGATCTCTCTGTACTTTGCTCCGTTCATCTTTCCCGCTGAATAACATCCCCACAGCATGATGCTGCCACCACCATGCTTCACCGTAGAGATGGTGCCAGGTTTCCTCCAGACCTGACAGAGATGGTTGTCCTTCTGGAAGGTTCTCCCATCTCCACAGACAAACTCTGGAGCTTTGGTCACCTCCCTGACCAAGGCCCTTCTCCCCCGATTGCTCAGTTTTGCCGGGTGGCCAGCTCTAGGAAGTGTCTTGGTGGTTCCAAACTTATACCATTTAAGAACGATGGAGACCACTGTGTTCTTGGGGACCTTCAATGCTGCAAAGGGACTGAATACTTATTTGAGAAATGAGCAAAAACACACAGAAAAAAACATGTTGCTTTGTCATTATGGGGTATTGTGTGTAGAATGATGAGTGGAAAAAATTATATAATCTATTTTAGAATAAGGCTGTAATGTAACAAAATGTGGGAAAAGGGAAGAGGTCTGAATACTTTCCGAATGCACTTTACCACTGGTATGACAAAAAAAGTATTTATACTGTTCTAATTACGTTGATAACCAGTTTATAATAGCAATAAGCGACCCCAGGGGTTTGTGGTATATGGCCAATATGCCACGGCTAACTGCTGTATCCAGGCACAGCCCTTAGCCGTGGTATATTGGCCATATACCATACCCCCTTGTACCTTGTTGCTTAATCATAGCAGTCAAACATGGTAATCGACATCCATTGATGGAAAATGATCTGCAGAGTTTATAAAGGCCAATTATCTTTTTTCTTGTGACATATTCAAATTCCTTTATTAAGTCATGTCATAGCTCACAATAATTATTATTTTGAGGAAAACCAAATTTTGCTTCTAACATCGTTACAAGTTACTACAATTGTTACGACTTCCGCCGAGGCTGCCTCCCCTCCTTGTTCGGGCAGGCTTCGGCGTTCGTCGTCACCGGCTTACTAGCCACTGCCGCTCCATTATTCATCATTCCATTTGTCTTGTCTTGTCAATCACACACACCTGGTTCTTATCCCCTCATTAGTCCGTGTATAAGTGTTCCCTCTGCCCCCCTTGTCCTTGTGGGTGATTGTTTATTTGTGAGAGTAGTGTAGCTCGGTGGAGCTACTCGTACCTTGTTATTGCCGGGGTAGATATTTCCCCTGTGCCTGTTATTGTTGGAGCTACCGTTACCTTGTATTGTCAGTGTTGATTTTCCCCTGTGCCTGTTTCGTTTGTCGCTATCCAGCGCTATTTGTGTACGACGGAATAAACTCTGCATTCGGTGATTACCCTCCTGCGCCTGACTCCTTCTATCACACTCATCACAACGATATTACTTCTTAATTGGCTCGATAACGTTATGGAAAAATGCTTTATTGTATAAATATGGCAACTCCTTTTGCTGTAAAAAATAATTGGGGGGATAGTTTTCAGGCCTTTTGGGTGAGTTCATTCTTTTGGAAATTTTTGCTTGACCTGGCAACCCTGCTCATGTCCCCCGGGACCGGTTCATACATAAAGCATCCTCCTATCAGGCTGCAAAGGTGTCGGTTTTTCCCCTTAACTCGATTTAATAATAATAATAAAGTAAACTTTTATAGTGCTTTTCATTACAATCTCAAAGCGCTTTAAGCAAAACAATAAAGAAATACATTCAATTTTGAAAAACAAAAACAAATAGTTAATGGACAATCATGGCAGGCAGGGTAGTTAATGAATGGCTTGAGCAGTCAGCGCCAGGAGGAACGCTAGAGTAGAGACTGTTCGGAGATTAAACGGAGGTAGGTCACATCCAGGGGGTTTCAGACTGGTCCAGGGCCGTTTGTCAGGGCGCCATTAGCTAGCTAGTTTGCTAGCAAGTTAGCTAGCTGAGCTTCTTGATGACAGTGACACATTAATTAGGCGAAACCACCTGGCTTGCCAGTCATGCCGATAGCTAACAAAAACAAACATTTTGAAAAAAATATGCAATCAAAAGTACTTCAAAAGGTCCACACTCCAGTCCAGTTGGTGGTGGTAATGCACCTTAAAGTTGGTTGCCAACCGGCATATAAAGTCCACAGAAGAAGAAGACTGAAGGAGGAAAGATTACTAGAAACTAACTAGGTTTCCCCTTTTATCTGTGGATTAATTGTCGGAGTAGAGAACACACGATTTTGTGTGACTCAAAATGGGTCAAAATTCTACAAAAATTCAGAAAAAAAGGACTTTGCGCATTTCAGATCAAATAACAACCCAATGTTTATATCCCAGGACAAATTAGCTAGCAACAGCAAGCTAGCTAGCTAAATGGCCATGAATGTTTCATGTGTTTCGACCTGTCCCCAAATTAATATAGTTGGTTGAGAGTTCGTTTTGACATTTCAACCTGTGTGTCCTGATGATCACGTCTGGTGTGGATGGACAAAATCAACATGCACGCGATGGCGCACGCACTTGCCCGGTCTAGTCAGCATGTTACTCCTCAGCCTGAGGTGTCCCCACTTGCACTAGCAAATAGCTAGTTTTTCTCGAGGCTTCAGGAGAGTGGTCACGTGTGCTAGCAAGGCAGATGTCCCTAGTGTCACCGCCCTTCTGAAGCGTCTTACCAGTCGGCATTTTGGTACACCAGAAGTACAGATTTCCAACGGAACGCTGTGTTTGCCTTGCAGCATTGCGTTGCAGAGGCAATTGCAGTGCATTCTGTTTGGGGCATATGTTGGATTTATCGAACCCAACATATGCGTCAAACTGTATGTGTAGACGGCTTGACAGAAATGGTAGCAGAAGGTGAATGTTGAACTTTTGTTGCACACATATCCAGATGATGCTGCATATCATTTTGCGCAATGACACTGTAGGTGTGATCAAGGCGTGAGGAGTAAGTTTCACACATCCCCATGTGCTACACTGGCACTTCATGTTTTTGATTTAACCAACCTGTAAGTCCAGGTGTGTGAAATTTAGGCAATCACTGAACTAATCAATTAGCTCAGTTGGTCAGGTGTGGTGCCTAGTTGGAACAAAATCCTGCAGTACCTGCGGACCTCCAGGAACAGGGTTGCCTACCCCTGGTGTATGCACAAGACAAGACCTGACACCTTGATCACACCAACAGTGTCATTGCATTTTGTTACACCAGAAGTACATTAATTTCCAATGGAACGTTGCGTTTGCCTTGAAGCATTGCGTTGCAGAGGCAGTTGCAGTGTGTTCTGTGTGGTGCATACAGTTGGATTTATTGAATATATGCGTCAAACTGTATGCGTGTATGGCTTGACAGAAATTGTAGCAGCAGGTGAATGTTGAACTTTTGTTGCGCACATTTCCAGATTATGTTGCGTAACATTTGCGCAAAAACATTTGCACAAAAAAAAGACGCTGGACGTGTGATCAAGGCGTAAGGATAATAAGCTTATATTTACTTAGACATCACTGCCCCTCCGTGGACATCTGTCGGTATTATTGATAATGTAGCCAATGTAGTCTATTGTGTTCTATCCTGTTGCAGTTGCTGTGAAAATACCGTTTGTTAAAATAAGAATTCAATGGTCTGATCATTACTTTTTTCTATTAGGGTTGTACAATAGCCTAATTGTTGTATACAAATTACTAGGCCCATAACTGATATATTTATTCTAACCCTAATAGCCTATTAAAATAGTTCACAAATACAATAACTTTATTTCACTTGATAAATAATACCACTGCTAACAGCCAAACATGGGCTATGTGGATGTCTATTAAAGGGTGAAGTAGGTTGTCCGTGGCATTGTATGACAGACAGTTGAAATCGGCATGGTTGTACAAGTGGAGGCGTGGAAGGGATTATTTTCGACGCAATACCGTCCCTCTGCAATCACTTTGGATGTTGTCCCGCGGCCTACAGTCCTACACAGTATTAACGGTGGTAGGGTCGGGTTGAGAGGGAGAGAAGTGGAGGTGGAGACGCGTCCACAACAGAGACATCACCATGGCACCCCTCGGACTAAAAGCCATTGTGGGAGAAAGTAAGAATATGTATTTTTGTTTAACAATCAACCATCACTTCGTTATGTAGGTCTATGCACTATTGTTATTTTGTATTTTTTCAGGTAATGTGTGCAGGCCTAGGCTATTTTATTTTTGACATTATTTTTGACATTCTATAAATGTTGGCTAATTTAGGCTATTTAGTTGGTTTTGAATTACTATTTTATTTAGATCTCAATTTGTATATCAAACACAATTTAAATACATTATTTGGCCAAAAACTTGTCCAGAAGTAGACCTATTGGAAGTAAAATCTAGCGCGTCTCGCGTCCGGTACGATTGCACATCGTGCGTAAAGGCGCACCACCGCACTCTCAATTATCCTATCTTTCTGCTTCATTAGATATTGCAAAATGTTGGTATTTTAATGTTCTGTTTTAATGATGTGCACTATACAATACTGGCATTTGTTTTGTAGTGAGTTGCACCATGGAATTGTCGTTTCGGGTAAATCCACATGCGCTAAATCCATACGGATTAAGCTATTCCACTGTCATCCTCTTCAGGGAGCAGTGCGCCTTGCTGCATGGATCCACCACAACACTGCTCCACACTCGGTTATCTAAAGGCACCACGAGAGAGGCAAATCTCTCCTTATGTGGATGAAAACGTGTAGGCCACAGGAGGTTGGTGGCACCTTAATTGGGGAGGACGGGTTTATGGTAATGGCTGGGGCAGAATTAGTGGAGTGGTATCAAATACCATTCTATTTGCTCCATTCTAGACATTATTATTATGAGCCACCTCCCCTCAGCAGCCTCCACTGGTGTAGGCCTATTACTTTGTATTGTGTGCTTTTAAAATCAATCTGCTGTGTTGAAGGCGTTTAATTCAAGAAAAGGCATACAACCTAGTTTCCCCATTACACACATAAAAAGCAAGGCCTTTTCCATGCATGAAAAAGTGAAAACCATAATTCCACAATGCAATTTCAGTCTTAAATACATTACACATTACTGTTTGGCTGGAAGTCTTTTTTATTTATGGTAGACAGGGGAATAGAGATATTGGGGTTAATGTGTGTTGCTATTGCGTGGGTATCCGCTATTTAATACCTCCTCAGATACCCACTGTATTTGATTGAGGTGAGACAGGGTGGTGCTATGGTGATTCAGAGTTTGTCCCACTGGTGTGAAGTGAGCTGTGGTCTCCCGACTCCACCCAGCCACCAGTAACATTCAGCATCACCAACTACTAGCTATGCTGGACTTCCTGAAAATCACACATTGTAGTACTGTGTACAAAAGGAGTACCATTGGTGTTCACAGTTTGTTGACCAGTCAGTCTGTCTGTCCCTTCAAGTTTCTGGGTTGTTTTGCTCTTAATCCTGAAGGCTTTTACTGTCATACAGACATAAATACCCATGAGTATGACAAATACTGTAGAATAAATTAGAAATAGATAGAAGTCACCCACTCAAAAAGACAGCGAAAAGTTAGTTGAATTTCCAATGTGTTATCACTGCTTTCAACCATCTAAAAGCACAACCAAAATCCAATGGAAAAACAATGTCAGATTTTTGGTTTAGTTGTCACCCAAATATCTATCACTGACCCCACCCCTGTTTTGGTAAAAAGCTGATGAATGGGGTTGGAGAAATGTATCTACTCGTACAGTCATAGACAGAGCTATGGAAAAGGACTGACCATCCATGATACCAAAACAATAGTTTTAACCATGTTTTGAGGCTACATGGTGTTTGTTTACAAGCTTATATTTTGGGTTCTGAAGGGGTACAACAGTTGAACTAGACTCATGAGGCATTTATAAGTTATATTCTTCAAGAATCAATAGGTACATATAATTAATTTGTAAATCCAAAAATGGATGTAGCAACTGCTGATTGTCCCTTTAATAGTGCATGGTGCAAGTGATCAATGCCTTTTGAAATTCTGCACAGATTATTACTGCAATTGTGAAAATCTCCACAGACCTGCGAAGACCTATGCATTCTATCTTGAACATGCATGCTTTATATGATTACATAAGGAGAAATGTATAGTTACAGTAACCTCAATGTGGCCATGGATGTGTTACTCATTTTAGGGTTGAATGTTACATTAGTTGTAAAATAGCCTTAACTTTAGGTCATGTATATGTTGTATTCAATTCTCCATCTCAACCAAAAATCAAAGTCAAAGAACAGGACTAAATCAAATCAAACTTTAAATGTAACTTTTAAAAAGTTTTGATTTGATTTAGTCCTATTCTTTAACTTTGATTTTTGGTAGAGATGGAGACATGAATCCAACATATAAATTATTCATTTGTAGACAAACTGGAATTAAAGCCAGAATAACTCAGTGGATCAGATGGAACTATCCAAGCAGAAGATACATCTGCTTCAAAAGTTGATATTTGGTTGCGTTTACAACCAAACACAATTCAATATCACTAAATATCATTACATTTGACATCAACCAGAGCTTGAAACCCTAGACCTATTGTATTGTCTATTGTTAGTTGAAATCTGGGTTGAATTGAAACAATAGCTGTTGATGACTTTGCAATTGCTAAATAGGCCTAAATAGCATAATTGATGATATATGAGTGATAAAGTATGGTCATTTGCTCTTTAAACCTACCCTTTGCAATGACTTCGATAGCAACAGTGAATCTATTTATTTTTTAAGTGGAGATCTCTCAACAATCATTCTCACGATAGCACATTGATAATAGTCAGTAACAAATATCATAGCTAAGCAGGGATGGGCTTGGTTAATAGCCAAACCAACAGTTTAAGTTGATTACTGATTACTTTTTTCATATCCAATGTATTTTCCATGTAGATTCCACATCATAATACATTGACAAATTACATTGAAACAATGTTGATTCAACCAGTTTGTTCCCAGTGGGTTAGTTAATAATTATATGTTGGTTTTACATCTCCATCTCACCCAAAAAATCTAAGTTAAAGAATAGGACTAAATAAAATAAAATCAAACTTGAAATGCAATTTAAATAATGTTTGATTTGATTTAGTTATTCTTTAACTCTCACAATAGTACACTGGTAATAGTCAGTTACAAATATCATAACTAAACAGGGCTTGGTTAAAATCCTAGATGGGAGACCAAAGTGTAGCTGTGGATAGACCAATTGTGCTATCCAGCCTATGGTTTTTTTTCTGATAGTGGATATAACGTTGAAGATCTGATGTTGTGTTAAAGGTACAAATTCAACATATTGTATACAAGGTTTGTCTATGTTGAAATTTAGTTACCATGATGACATAATCCTGGTTGAAATTTCACCCTCAAAAAAACAATTTACGTTGATTACTTTTTTCAAATCCAATGTATTTTCCACGTAGATTCCGCATCACAATACATTGGCAAATTACGTTAAAACATCGTTGATTCAACCAGTTTGTGCCCAGTGGGTTGGCTCTTCTGTTTACCTTCTGAGACACAATAGTTGTGGTTGTCCGGCTCAGACAGACAGGAGGAGTTTAGTGGTTGCGTCCCAAATGGCACCCTATTCCCTATATAGTTAACAAATGTTACCAGAGCCCTATGGGCCCATTTGGGCCTTGGTCGAAAGTAGTGCACTATATAGGGAATAGGGTGCCATTTGAGACACAGATATTATCTCCCATCCCAAAGCTGCTTGTTAGTTTGTTGTTGCTGACTGACTCTTTCATGGGGCATTGGGGCAATTCCCCCTAGCTAATCCAGTTGGGTAATTGGATACAGAACTCATTCACTGATAGACAGACACGTCACCTCAATTATCAACTCACCCAACCCATATTCAAAACAACAACAGTGTTTGAATGAAGCATATAGGCACATTTATGTTCTTGATTTCTGAAATGTTAACTGGACAGTGTGGACAATGATTGAGTTGATTGATTGTTATGTATTTGTGACATTGTCTTGTTTTTCAATGGAGGTAATGCATGTTAAAATGAATTTGGAAAACAGAGAGCCATGCTATGCTACACCCTTTGAAGAACTATTTTTGGTTCCATGTTGAACTCTTTTTGTTCCAAGTAGAACCGTTTTTGGGTTCCATGTAGAACCCTTTTCACAGAGGGTTCTACCTGGAACCCAAAAAGGTTATACCTGGAACCAAAAAGGGTTCTCCTATGGGGATAGCCAAAGAACCCTTTTGGAACCCTTTTGTTAAAGAGTGTAGCCTGACACAACAGTCAACTATTTCTCTCTCTGTCTCTGGCTTTTAGGAGCCATGCTCTATGTAACAATATTTTTAAGCTGGGGATGAAGGATATACAGAGCCTTCAGAAAGTATTCACACCCCTTGACTTTTTTCACATTTTGTTGTGTTACAAATTGGTATTCAAATAGATTGACTTGCCTTTTTCCCCCCAACGATCTACACAAAATACTCTGTAATGTCAAAGTGGAAGAACATTTTATTTAAAAATAATATATCTTGATTAGAAAGTATTCAACCCCCTGAGTCAATACATATCAGAATCACCTTTGGCAGCGATTACAGCTGTGAGTCTTTTTGGGTAAGAGCTTTGCACACCTGGATTGTACAATATATGCCCATTATTCTTTTTAAAACTCTTCAAGCTCTGTCAAGTTGGTTGTTGATCATTGCTAGACAGCCATTTTCAAGTCTTCCCATAGATTTTCAAGCTAATTTAAGTCAAAACTGTAACTAGGCCACTCAGGAACATTCAATGTCATCTTGGTAAGCAACTCCAGTGTATATTTGGCCTTGAGTTTTAGGTTCCTACTGAAAGATGAATTTGTCTCCCAGTGTCTGTTGGAAAGCAGACTGAACCAGGTTTTCCTCTTGGATTTTGCCTGTGCTTAGCTCTATTCCATTTATTTTCATCCTACCAAAAAAACTCCCTAGTCCTTGCCATTGATGAGCAGACCCATAACATGATGCAGCCACCACCATGCTTGAAAATATGTGATATGTTGTGTTGGATTTGCCCCAAACATAATGCTTTTTGCAGAATTACTTTAGTGCCTTATTGTAAACAGGATGCATGATTTTGTTTTTATTCTGTACAGACTTACTTCTTTTCACTCTGTCATTTAGATTAGTATTGTGGAGTAACTACAATGTTGTTGATCCATCCTCAGTTATCTCCTATCACAGCCATTAAACTCTGTAACTGTTTTAAAGTCACCATTGGCCTCAGGGTGAAATCTCTGAGCGGTTTTTTTCCTCCCCGTCAACTGAGTTAGGAAGGACGCCTGCATCTTTGTAGTGACTGGGTGTATTTATACACCATCCAAAGTGTAATTAATAACTTCACCATGCTCAAAGGGATATTCAGTGTCTGCTTTTTTAAAAATGTTTACCCATCTAACAATAGGTACCCTTCTTTGCGAGGCATTGGAAAACCTCCCTGGTCTTTGTGGTTGAATCTGTGCTTGATACAGATAATTGTATGTGTGGGGTACAGAGATGGGGTAATCATAAAAAAATCATGTTAACCACTATTATTATGCAACTTAATATGTTACCTTTTAAGCACATTTCTACTCATTCAAGTATTTAGGCTTGCCATAACAAAGGGGTTGAATACTTATTGACTCAAGACATTTCAGCTTTACATTTTTATTAATTTGTAAAAATTTCTAAAAACTAAATTCCACTTTGACATTGTGGGTTATTTTGTGTAGATCAGTGGTAAAAAATCTCAATTTAATCAATTTTAAATTCAGGCTGTAACACAACAAAATGTGGAAAAAGTCAAGGGGTGTGAATACTTTTTGAAGGCACTGTAGTTACTGCTCATTTAGTACTTATACTTATTTAAAATCAAATAACACTTATTAATGTATTTAATGGATATTGTTTTTAGGATACTTGCCAAATCGAGCATACGTGTGTCTGTGTGTGTGAGTGAGTGAGTCAACATGTTTCCTTGTGACGTCACATCCTGTGGCACAGAAAGAGCCCAGAAATAGCGATCCTGGCGGTTCTGTGGCGTAAGAGGATTGGAAGAGATTATGATTGCTGTGTGTCCCTCTCACTGACTCATTCCAGTACATAGATGGGCCATCTTTTTAACTATAGATTCAAAGCTGATCCTTCCCCTTCTCCACTACCACAGACTGGCATTTGGGATGCATCAACTGTCTCCCAGATGGTTCCAACGGGGCACCAGGTTCCCAGACTCCTCACAGATGTAATGAGTGTTACACTGGTATGACTGCCCACTTCAGACCCCTCACCGGAGCCCATTTAATTCCAACTGTGGCTGTGCCCTCACTGCTAACACCGTCTGTCACCCCCCTAAACTCAGAATTCACTAGACCAAAATATCTAATATGCACTTTTTTACCAGAAGCATTATGCTCAGATACCCAGGCTTCGCTCAAGTTGTTCCAATAGTTTGAGTCAACAAGACGAGATTTGGAAGGATGGCCTCGTGAGACTATACTGTATACAACAGGCAAATAGCCTACAGTGCAGAACAGTTTAATGTGTAAGTTGAAGTGTGAGCTAATCAATTATTCCTCCATTTACAGAGATAATGAATGATGTCATCAAGAAGGTGCACAAGAAGGGAGAATGGAAGGTATGGGCAGCTTCTATATCAATTACATTCTTAGTTATGAATGACTGTGTCTGTGATAGTACATGATAGTGCTTGTCTGCGCCCAAATGACACCCTATTCCCTATATAGTGTACCACTTTTGACCCAGAGCCCTATGAGCCCAAGTCGAAAGTCGCACACTATATAGGGAATAGGGTGACCCCTTGACCCCATGTAACCTCTGACCTGTGTCGTCCCTGTCCTCCCCCAGGTTCTGGTAGTAGACAAGCTGAGCATGAGGATGATGTCATCCTGCTGTAAGATGACAGATATCATGTCAGAGGGCATCACCAGTGAGTACCACTCCGTCAACGTTGCACACGCACATGCACGCTCAATGTTCAGCGTCACTTCATAGGCTAACTGAATGACTGTGCTTTTCTCTCTTATCCTGTCCAGTTGTTGAAGACATCGGCAAGAAGCGGGAGCCTCTCCCTAGTATGGAGGCCATCTACCTCATAACTCCCAATGATGAGGTATTGGAACCATTTAGTTTTTGTAAATGCGTTTATCCAAAGCGATTTACTGTAATACAAGCCTACATTTACATATGGTTGGCTCCAGTTGGAATCGAACCCACAGCCCTGGCGTTGGAAGCGCCATCCTTTATCATCTGAGACACGCAGGAGCAGAAAACTTCAGCTTTCTTTGATAAGATTCGTGATGTTCCCTTTCCTTCTCCTACCCAGACTGTGGAGGCACTCATAGATGACTTCAGAGATCCGCGGTCGCCCAGATACAGAGGAGCTCACGTCTTCTTCACTGACAGTGAGTAATACTGGAGAGACATGGGACGACTTTGTACCATCACTTACTGTATACAGTATATTAATTCTGATGATGCCTTTATATCTGATTCTCCTGGATTACTGGGAACGGACTAGCAGATGTAACGGCAGGCAACTCCTCTTTGCCACCATACCAACACTCAATGTCAACCTTACACAGTACACTTTTAGAAAAAAGGGTTCCAAAAGGGTTCTTCAGCTGTCCCCATAGGAGAACCCTTTTTGGTTCCAGGTAAACCCCTTTTTGGTTCCAGGTAGAACCATTTTGGGTCCCATGTAGAACCCTCTACATGGAACCAAAGACTGTTCTACTTGGAACCAAATGTGTTCTACCTGGAACCAACAAGGATTGTTCAAATGATTTCCTAAGGGGACAGCCGAAGAAACCTTTTAGGTTGTAGATAGCAAAACAATTTTTCTAAGAGTGTAGAGTATATTGATTTCTATTCTATTTCCCTATTCTTTCCATCCTTTAATTTCCTTGCATATTTTTTTTCACTCAACCCCCCCCCCCCCCCCACTCACAGCAATCCCAGATACATTGTTCAATCTGTTGACGAAATCCCGCGCGTCCAAAGCCATGAAGACCTTGACTGAGATCCATATCGCCTTTCTGCCCTATGAGTCACAGGTAAGAGCCTATCTGCCCCTCTGTTCCTGGCGAGGGATAGAGAGACAGAGGGAGAGATACATAGAGAGAGAGAGGAGGAGGAGGAGGAGGAGGAAATGAGCTGGGGTTGTCTCCTCTCCTCTCTCTCCTGATGGAATGTTCCAGAGCAGAGCAGAGAGGCTTTAGCCAGGCCATGGCTTTGCTGTGCCTCCAATCCTCTGCTGTTCTAGAATTAATCCAACAGGGGGAGGTGTGGGGATGAGAAGGAGAGGAGGGGGGTGTGGGGATGCCACGTTGCCCAGCCTCCCTCCCTCCCTCCCTCCCTCCCTCCCTCCCAGTCCGTCTCTAATCCCTCACCTCATTGGCGGATGCATCAACATGCTGCCCGGGGAGCCAATGGGAGCCGGAGGAGGTTTGTGTGACAGGGGGAAGTTGTTTGCACACTAGAGGGATTGTGCCTGACTGACACACATAATGGGTTAATTAGAGTGGATGGAGGGAGCCATGGCTGAGAAGAAATAGGAAGTTTCAGTTTGGAAATAAACTGTCACTTACAGTGGGGCAAAAAAGTATTTAGTCAGCCACCAATTGTGCAAGTTCTCCCACTTAAAAAGATGAGAGAGGCCTGTAAATTTCATCATAGGTACACGTCAACTATGACAGACAAAATGAGAAAAAAAATCCAGAAAATCACATTGTAGAATTTTTTATGAATTTATTTGCAAATTATGGTGGAAAATAAGTATTCGGTCAATAACAAAAGTTTCTCAATACTTTGTTATATACCCTTTGTTGGCAATGACACAGGTCAAATGTTTTCTGTATGTCTTCACAAGGTTTTCATATACTGTTGCTGGTATTTTGGCCCATTCCTCCATGCAGATCTCCTCTAGAGCAGTGATGTTTTGGGGCTGTCGCTGGGCAACACGGACTTTCAACTCCCTCCAAAGATTTTCTATGGGGTTGAGATCTGGAGACTGGCTAGGCCACTCCAGGACCTTGAAATGCTTCTTACGAAGCCACTCCTTCGTTGCCCGGGCGGTGTGTTTGGGATCATTGTCATGCTGAAAGACCCAGCCACGTTTCATCTTCAATGCCCTTGCTGATGGAAGGAGGTTTTCACTCAAAATCTCACGATACATGGCCCCATTCATTCTTTCCTTTACACGAATCAGTCGTCCTGGTCCTTTGCAGAAAAACAGCCCCAAAGCATGATGTTTCCACCCCCATGCTTCACAGTAGGTATGGTGTTCTTTGGATGCAACTCAGCATTCTTTGTCCTCCAAACACGACGAGTTGAGTTTTTACCAAAAAGTTCTATTTTGGTTTCATATGACATTCTCCCAATCCTCTTCTGGATCATCCAAATGCACTCTAGCAAACTTCAGACGGGCCTGGACATGTACTGGCTTAAGCAGGGGGACACGTCTGGCACTGCATGATTTGAGTCCCTGGCGGCGTAGTGTGTTACTGATGGTAGGCATTGTTACTTTGGTCCCAGCTCTCTGCAGGTCATTCACTAGGTCCCCCCGTGTGGTTCTGGGATTTTTGCTCACCGTTCTTGTGATCATTTTGACCCCACGGGGTGAGATCTTGCGTGGAGCCCCAGATCGAGGGAGATTATCAGTGGTCTTGTATGTCTTCCATTTCCTAATATTTGCTCCCACAGTTGATTTCTTCAAACCAAGCTGCTTACCTATTGCAGATTCAGTCTTCCCAGCCTGGTGCAGGTCTACAATTTTGTTTCTGGTGTCCTTTGACAGCTCTTTGGTCTTGGCCATAGTGGAGTTTGGAGTGTGACTGTTTGAGGTTGTGGACAGGTGTCTTTTATACTGATAACAAGTTCAAACAGGTGCCATTAATACAGGTAACGAGTGGAGGACAGAAGAGCCTCGTAAAGAAGAAGTTACAGGTCTGTGAGAGCCAGAAATCTTGCTTGTTTGTAGGTGACCAAATACTTATTTTCCACCATAATTTGCAAATAAATTCATAAAAAATCCTACAATGTGATTTTCTGGAATTTGTTTTCTCAATTTGTCTGTCATAGTTGACGTGTACCTATGATGAAAATGACAGGCCTCTCTCATCTTTTTAAGTGGGAGAACTTGCACAATTGGTGGCTGACTAAATACTTTTTTTCCCCACTGTATGTCATGGGGCATTTGGCAGAGTTATCAGAAAGCACAGCATTGATTGTACTGCTATGCAGACGATACAGAACTCTACATTTCTGTGTCTCTAGAGGATTTTAGCTCCACAAAAAAATTAATAGACTGTATTAGTGATTTAAATACTTAAATACTTCCTCCAGCTAAATCAAGACAAGACCGAGGTACTTATTGTTGGAGCCAAAGCACAGAGAGAGAATCTAGCCGCACATTTTAAATAAAGATGAAACACCAGGTAAAATACAACTGAATGCATTCAACTGAAATGTGTCTTCCACATTTAACTCAACCTCTCTCAATCAGAGAGGTGCGGGGGGCTGCCTTAATTGACGTCCACATCACCGGAGCCCAGGGAGCAGTTGTTGTTGGGGGTTAACTGCCTTGCTCAAGGCTGGAGGAAATAATAAAAGATGTCTCATCTGATCCTACAGCACTGTACTGTATTGTCAGTCATTTGGGCATCAATTCAGTCAAAGAGGATTATATTATCTCACACACTAATACAGTGCCTGCCCCTGCATGCCCTCTGGATAGGGTTACACACTTCTGTTAATTTCCCCCAAATTCCTGGTTAGAGGATTCACACATTTCTTGCTTATTCCATCCTGATTCTGGGAATATTCCAACCAGGATTTCTGGAAAGTGACCAACATTTTTGGGTTTAGGCCGGGTAACTGTAAAGCACGTTGTTCCTGCTGATGTAAAAACAGCCAAATAAAATAAATGTCATTGATTTGATTATTTATCTGTGTGTCTAGGTGTTTTCCCTGGACAAGACCGATGCCTTCCAGGACTTCTACAGCCCCTACAAGGCTGACATCAAGCGCAACATGTTGGAGCGTTGTGCTGAGCAGATCGCCACTCTCTGCAACACCCTGAAGGAATACCCTGGCATCAGATACCGAGGGTGAGAGAGAGAGAGCTACAGCAATATCAATTACTGCTGCTGTTTCATGTATACTGGCTTCTGTAGTGGTGGCTGGTGGTTCGTTTGAGTCCCAGACAGACCAGTGTGGAATGTATAGGCTATGTCTCAATCCAAAGGCAGCTACCTACCTCCAAAGGTAGCATCCTTGTGGATTGAGACATAGCCTATACATTCTCCTCTGAGAGGATTTTTAGAAGGAGTCAGTCTTCTGTATGTCTGATGGAAAGCTAACAGCCTGTGTGTTGTCTACTCTGTTGTCTTGACTCAGGGAGTACAAAGACTGTGCCACTCTGGCTCAGCTCCTGCAGGACAAGCTGGACGGCTACAAGGCAGACGACCCAACCATGGGAGAGGTGAGACAGGAGTGCAGCCAACCAACAAGCCACACTGATTTAACTGACATAACACACACTGTAAACGGATTACTGTGAATCTGACAGTATCTTACAGGCAGCTCAGTGGCAAGTACAATTCTGTACTTCATATTACAGTACACCTACTGTAATGTAAATACTGTATCAAAGCAAGTACGATAGGTCAGCCACCCGCTGCTTTTACCCTTTCGCGGGCACGGTGTGTTTTGTCCTTTAGGTTACACTGAAACACGTCATTATGTCAAACCAATGTATCGCACACGCACAGGCAAAATAATGGAATAGTCTATTGTAGATTGTTATGACGTTTTGGAGGTTATGAAACTGCAATAGTACAGTCGAATCATAATGTAAACCTCTTTGTCCAGCCTTTTGTCTCTCTGTCCCTGTCAGCTAATATGGCCCCCTCTTTCTCTCCGCCCTGCCTAGGGTCCGGACAAGTCTCGCTCCCAGCTCCTGATTCTGGACCGAGGCTTTGACCCGGTCTCTCCCATCCTCCACGAGCTCACCCTCCAAGCCATGGGCTATGACCTGCTGGGCATCGAGAACGACGTCTACAAGTAAACACACACACATTCACTGGCACAACCTGGCACAGCAATGGGTTCATAGCACACTGGCACAGCCTGGCACAGCAATGGGTTCATAGCATACAACACACTGGGCCTCGCACCACAGAATTACAGAGAACATACAGTACCAGTCAAAAGTTTGGACACACCTACTCATTCAAGTGTTTTTCTTTATTTTTACAATTTTCAACATTGTAGAATAATAGTGAAGACATCAAAACTATGAAATAACACATATGGAATCATGTAGTAACCCAAAAAATATATATATTTTAGATTTTAGATTCTTCAAATAGCCACCCTTTGCCTTGATGACAGCTTTGCACACTCTTGGCATTCTCTCAACCAGCTTCACCTGGAATGCTTTTCCAACAGTCTTGAAGGAGTTCCCACATATGCTGAGCACTTGTTGGCTGCTTTTCCTTCACTCTGCAGTCTGACTCATCCCAAACCATCTCAATTGGGTTGAGGTCGGGGGATTGTGGAGGCCAGGTCATTTGATGCAGCACTCCATCACTCTCCTTCTTGGTAAAATAGCCCTTACACAGCCTGGAGATGTGTCTTACAAAGACACAGCGGTTGGAACCAAAAATCTCCAATTTGGATTCCAGACCAAAGGACAAATTTCAACCGGTCTAATGTCCATTGCTCGTGTTTCTTGGCTCAAGAAGGTCTCTTCTTCTTATTGGTGTCCTTTAGTAGTGGTTTCTTTGCAGCAATCCGACCATGAAAGCCTGATTCACACAGTCCCCTCTGACCAGTTGATGTTGAAATATGTATGTTACTTGAACTCTGTTAAGCATTTATTTGGGCTGCAATTTCTGAGGAGCAGTTAACTCTAATGAACTTATCCTCTGCAGCAGACTTAACTATGGGTCTTCCTTTCCTGTGGCGGTCCTCATGAGAGCCAGTTTCATCATAGCACTTGATGGTTTTTGCGACTGCACTTGAAGAAACGTTCAACGTTTTTGAAATGTTCCGTATTGACTGACCTTCATGTCTTAAAGTAATGATGGACTGTCGTTTCTCTTTGCTTATTTGAGCTGTTCTTGCCATAATATGGACTTGGTATTTTACCAAATAGGGCTATCTTCTGTATACCCCCCCTACCTTGTCACAACACAACTGATTGGCTCAAACGCATTAAGAAGGAAAGAAATTCCACAAATTAACTTTTAAGAAGGCACACCTGTTAATTGAAATGCATTCCAGGTGACTACCTCATGAAGCTGGTTGAGAGAATGCCAAGAGTGTGCAAAGCTCTCATCAAGGCAAAGGGGGATTTGTTTAACACTTTTTTGGTTATAACATGATTCCATATGTGTTATTTCATAGTTTTGATGTCTTCACTATTATTCTACAATGTAAAAAATAGTAAAAATAAAGAAAAACCCTTGAATGAGTAGGTGTGTCCAAACCTTTGACTGGTAGTGTATAGGATCTCTAACCCTATGTGAATTATAAGATCTCTATCCCTATGTGAATTAATGATAGGATCTCTATCCCTATGTGAATTATATAATCTCTATCCCTGGCACAGTCTAGCAATAGGTCCATCTCTCGTTTTGTTTGGATAGGAATTGTCATCTTGTCCTGTAGCTTCGTATTTGGCTCTAAATCAACATTTGAGCATATCTGTCTTTGCTGTTATGAGCTGTTATGTTGTACATCGCTCTGTGTATGACTCTGTTCCCTGTTTCTCTCTCTCTCATCTCTCGCTTTCATCTCTCGCTCTCTCATCACTTGCTCTCTAATCTCTCGCTCTCGCTGTCAGGTATGACACCAGTGGGATGGGGGAGGTCAAGGAGAAGGCAGTGTTGCTGGATGAGGATGATGATCTGTGGATGAGTCTCAGACACAAGCACATTGCAGAAGTCACCACGTAAGTCTTTACAAAATAGGATGCTCCCTTGGTTCACACACACATACAGTTGAAGTCGGAAGTTTACATACACCTTAGCCAAATACATTTAAACTCAGTTTTTCACAATTCCTGACATTTAATCCTAGTAAAAATTCACTGTCTTAGGTCAGTTAGATCACCACTTTATTTTAAGAATTTGAAATGTCAGAATAATAGTAGAGAGAATGATTTATTTCAGCTTTTATTTCTTTCATCACATTCACAGTGGGTCAGAAGTTTACATACACTCAATTAGTATTTGGTGGCATTGCCTTTAAATTGTTTAACTTGGGTCAAACGCTTCGGGTAGCCTTCCACAAGCTTCTCACAATAAGTTGGGTGAATTTTGGCCCATTCCTCCTGACAGAGCTGGTCTAACTGAGTCAGGTTTGTAGGCCTCATTGCTCGCACACACTTTTTCAGTTCTGCCCACACATTTTCTATAGGAATGAGGTCAGGGCTTTGTGATGGCCACTCCAATACCTTGACTTTGTTGTCCTTGCCACAACTTTGGAAGTATGCTTGTGGTCATTGTCCATTTGGAAGACCCATTTGCGACCAAGCTTTAACATCCTGACTGATGTCTTGAGATTTTGCTTCAATATGTCCAGATAATTTTCCTTCCTCATGATGCCATCTATTTTGTGAAGTGCACCAGTCCCTCCTGCAGCAAATCACCCCACAGCATGATGCTGCCACCCCCGTGCTTCACGGTTGGGATGGTGATCTTCTGCTTGCAACTACCCCCTTTTTCCTCCAAACATAACGATGGTCATTATGGGCAAACAGTTCTATTTTGTTTCATCAGACGAGAGGCAAATAGGCACTGAGTTTGAAGGTAGGCCTTGAAATACATCCAAAGGTACACCTTCAATTGACTCAAATTATTTCAATTAACCTATCAGAAGCTTCGAAAGCCATGACATCATTTTCTGGAATTTTCAAAGCTGTTTAAAGGCACCGTCAACTTAGTGTATGTAAACTTCTGACCCACTGGAATTGTGATACAGTGAATTATAAGTGAAATAGTCTGTCTGTAAACAATTGTTGGAAAAATTACTTGTGTCATGCACAAAGTAGATGTCCTAACCGACTTGCCAAAACTATAGTTTGTTAACAAGAAATGTGTGGAGTGGTTGAAAAACGAGGTTTAATGAATCCAACCTAAGTGTATGTAAACTTCCGACTTCAACTGTACATGCACGGACACACGGACGCCCTGCTGCCCTGTATAGGGATTTTATTTATTTCTCTCTCTCCCTCTCTATCCCTCTCACACGTTCAAACAGGGCTGTGACCCGCTCCCTCAAAGAATTCTCAGCCACCAAAAAGATGAACACTGGAGAGAAGGTACATGCAACTCAGTCTGTATTAGTCCTACCTACCTACTGCATTATTGAACTGAGATGTGTCCTTCGTAACCCTCTGTACTGTATTGACTGCTGGATGTGTCTAACAGTGAGGTGCTCTTCTGGGTTTGCTACAGACCACAATGAAAGACTTGTCTCAGATGCTGAAGAAGATGCCACAGTATCAGAAAGAGCTAAGCAAGGTAAGCATGATGAGTCATATGATACTGTATGGATGTCCTATCACAGAAATAATACACCCAACATGCTCAGACAGACAACTGGTCCCCCAGGCAGTTATGAAATATAACACGTAGAAGACCTTCACTATGGACTATTAAGACTATGAATGTGTGACACCAAATGGGAGAAACATGGAGAGACTACCTTGACGTTGTACAATAAGAAAATAAATGCTTGTTTTCTTTTTTCGTTGCAAAGCGATTTTGCTACGGTGTACACTAATGAATCCACCCCTCCCTGTGTTTCAGTACTCTACCCACCTCCACTTGGCTGAAGACTGTATGAACCGCTACCAGGGCACGGTGGACAAGCTGTGTCGTGTTGAGCAGGTAACAGAATAACCAGGGAGCCCAGGGAATTGGAGTACATTTGGGTAAAATGTTTGTGATCTGTTTGTACTATTGCCAACTCCATTGCTGTCATTGTCAAGCCAAACAACCAGTGACAGGGAGTTGGCATGATATCACAAATAGACTAGCACTAGCACTATTAAAATGGGTACCCTGAGTGTACAAAACATTAAGAACACCTTCCTAATATTGAGTTGCACCCACTTTTGCCCTCAGAACATGGTCACTACAAGGTGTCGAAAGCGTTCCATAGGGATGCTGGCCCATGTTGACTCCAATGCTTCCCACAGTTGTGTCAAGTTGGCTGGATGTCCTTTGGATGGTGGACCATTCTTAGATATAGCTTTTTTTTTATTATTATATAATTTTCCTTGTTTCAGGTCAACATGAAACAAGGTAACGTAAAACATAACATAACCAACAAACACCAAAACAAAACAAAAACATACAAAAACAATAAGAATTATACATTCCATTTTAGTTCTCTGCTCTGAATTTTTCATTACTTTATTTAAAAAACGTATCATTAATTTCATTAACATTATTATTATTTATTCATTTTACTGTCACGAAATGTGTGGCTGTAGTGTGTAAAATACCCCTAACAAAGTATAGAGGCCTATACGACAACATAATTATTTTATACAAGATAGTGACCAGGGTCCAGTTGACCCATAGATTCATATAATTTGTATATTGACACTTCTTAGGGTATCTGTAAGATTAGGGGGAAGATAGCAAAAAGGGGTCCCATATTGTATAGAAATCTCCTTCCTTGTTCCTAATTATAAACTGGGTGGTTCGTGCCCTGAATGCTGATTGGCTGACAGCCTTGGTATATCCGGACGTATACCACGGGTAAGACAAAACATTTATTTGTACTGTTCTAATTACATTGGTAACCAGTTTATAAGTGCTATAGTTAAGCAATAAGGAACTAGGAGATGTGGTATATGGCCAATATACCACGGCTAAGGGATGTATCCAGGCATTCCAGGCATAAGAACAGTCCTTAGCCGTGGTATATTGGCCATATACCACATCTCCTCGTGCCTTATTGCTTAACTATAGCACTCATTTTCTCCAGTGTTAACACTTTAAAGATCTCACTATACCACTGATTTATTGTTGGTGGCTGGTCTTTTATCCAGTTAAGGAGAAAGCATTTGCGGGCCACAAAGAGTAATATTTTTAAGAAGATTGAGCTGTGCTAAGGTAAGTGAGGGCCTGTTCCCAATGACACCCAGTACAAATAGCCAAGGGTCCATTCTTATAGGACATACAACACTCCTTCCATAGCCTCCAACTGCTCTTGAACGCTAGTAAAACTAAATGCATGCTCTTCAATCGAACGCTGCTTGCACCCGCCTGCCCGACTAGAATCACTACTCTCGGTGGGTCTGACTTAGAATATGTGGACAACTACAAATACCTAGGTGTCTGGTTAGACCATAAACACTCCTTCCAGACTCACATTAAGCATCTCCAATCCAAAGTTAAATCTAGAATCGGCTTCCTATTTCATTTACATTTACATTTTAGTCATTTAGCAGACGCTCTTATCCAGAGCGACTTACAGGAGCAATTAGGGTTAAGTGCCTTGCTCAAGGGCACATCGACAGATTTTTCACCTAGTCGGCTCGGGGATTAGAACCAGCGACCTTTCGGTTACTGGCACAACGCTCTTCACAGCCTCCTTCACTCATGCTGCCAAACATGCCCTCGTAAAACTGACTATCCTACCGATCCTTGACTTCAGCGATGTCATTTACAAAATAGCCTCCAACACTCTACTCAGCAAATTGGATGTAGTCTATCACAGTGCCATCCGTTTTGTCATCAAAGCCCCATATACTACCCACCATTGTGACCTGTACGCTCTCGTTGGCTGGCCCTCACTACATATTCGTCGCCAAACCCACTGGCTCCAGGTCATCTATAAATCACTGCTAGGCAAATCCCCGCCTTATCTTAGCTCATTGGTCACCATAGCAACACCCACATGTAGTATGCGCTCCAGCAGGTATATCTCACTGGTCATCCCCAAAGCCAACACCTCCTTTGGCCGCCATTCCTTCCAGTTCTCTGCTGCCAATGACTGGAACGAACTGCAACAATCTCTGAAGCTGGAGACTCTTATCTCCCTCACTAACTTTAAGCATCAGTTGTCAGAGCAGCTTACCGATCACTGCACCTGTACACAGCCCATCAGTAATTAGCCCACCCAACTACCTCATCCCCATATTGTTATTTATTTTGCTCATTTGCACATCATCTCTTGCACATCTATCAGTCCAGTGTTAATACTAAATTGTAATTATTTTGCACTATGGCCTATTTATTGCCTTACATCCATAACTTACTACATTTGCACACACTGTATATAGATTTTCTATTGTGTAATTGACTGTATGTTTTGTTTATCCCATATGTAACTCTGTTGTTGTTTTTATCGCACTGCTTTGCTTTATCTTGGCCAGGTCCCAATTGTAAATGAGAAAATGAGAACTTGTTCTCAACTGGCTTACCTGGTTAAATAAAGGTGAAAAAGAAAAGAAAATAAAAATATGAACATGCCTTCCAGCTCCGTTTTGTAGTTAATAGGCAAGTCCAAAACAGATGGCCATGAGTGCCTTTTTCCTTCTTACACTTACTACAGGTATCAGATAATTCTGCTTTCATTATATTCCATATAATGGAGAGCCTATGGATCTTTGCATAATCTTATATTGCATCTCTTGCACCTTGTTGCAGGTGAACAGTTGTCTTGCTTCGAGCATAGTCTTTGTCCAATTTTGAATTTCTTGGCCTCTTCCCTGCTCCGTTTCCCATAACCAAATCAGAGCACTTGAGTTACTTTCAACATTAGAATGTATAGCAGCATAAATTGAAGAGATAAAGTGTTTAGGTCTTTCAGCTTTCAACAGGAGATTGTCCACTGGGGTTCGTATTGGGTTCTGTGGGGGAGCACCATCTTGGATTCAATCAAATGTCTTACTTGCAGATACCCAAAGAATTGTCTGTGTGGTACAGCACATTTTTGTTGGATTTGCTGAAACGATAGCAACGTGTCACCATCAAAGATACCTGATTTTGACCTCATACCTTTCTGGTACCAGAGGTGGAAAATGCTATCAGAGACGCCAGGGGGAAAGGCCTTGTTATTAATAAGGGGAGTCAGAGCAGAAAAGTAATCCTTTCTCCCAATATGTTTGCAAATATCTCTCCAGATCTTAAAGGTACTGTTAAGAATCGGGTTATGTTTCACTTCTGTGCTGACTGTTTATATCACCAGTCATAACACTGATGAATGAGTATGGAGATGTGAAGCAGTAGTTATTACTGACCCACTTAGAGCAATGTTCATCTCTGAAACATTCTGCAATTATGCGAGCATGACATGCCCAGTTATAAAATAGCAAATTAGGTAGTGCTAGGTCTCCTAAATGATATGGTAGCTGCAGTTTACAAATGTTCAACCTTGGTCTTTTTCAGTGCCATATAATGTCTGAGAGGTATTTATTGAGTTCATTAAAAGTATTTTTCGTTATATATAATGGAACCATCTGGAGAGGATATAAAAGTCTGGGGAAAACATTAATTTTAATCAGATTAATTCTACCCAACCATGATAATGGCAAGTCCATCCACCTATCTACAGTGAGGGAAAAAAAGTATTTGATCCCCTGCTGATTTTGTACATTTGCCCACTGACAAAGAAGTGATCAGTCTATAATTTCAATGGTAGGTTTATTTGAACAGTGAGAGACAGAATAACAATAAAAAAATCCAGAAAAATGCATGTCAGAATTGTTAGAAATTGATTTGCATTTTAATGAGGGAAATAAGTATTTGACCCCCTCTCAATCAGAAAGATTTCTGGCTCCCAGGTGTCTTTTATACAGGTAATGAGCTGAGATTAGGAGCACACTCTTAAAGGGAGTGCTCCTAATCTCAGTTTGTTACCTGTATAAAAGACACCTGTCCACAGAAGCAATCAATCAATCAGATTCCAAACTCTCCACCATGGCCAAGACCAAGGAGGTCTCCAAGGATGTCAGGGACAAGATTGCAGACCTACACAAGGCTGGAATGGGCTACAAGACCATCGCCAAGCAGCTTGGTGAGAAGGTGACAACAGTTGGTATCATTATTCACAAATGGAAGAAACACAAAATAACTGTCAATCTCCCTCGGCCTGGGGCTCCATGCAAGATCTCACCTCGTGGAGTTGCAATGATCATGAGAACGGTGAGGAATCAGCCCAGAACTACACGGGAGGATCTTGTCAATGATCTCAAGGCAGCTGGGACCATAGTCACCAAGAAAATAATTGGTAACACACTACGCTGTGAAGGACTGAAATCCTGCAGCCCCCCGCAAGGTCCCCCTGCTCAAGAAAGCACATATACAGGGCCATCTGAAGTTTGCCAATGAACATCTGAATGATACAGAGGAGAACTGGGTGAAAGTGTTGTGGTCAGATGAGACCAAAATCGAGCTCTTTGGCATCAACTCAACTCGCCGTGTTTGGAGGAAGAGGAATGCTGCCTATGACCCCAAGAACACCATCCCTACCGTTAAACATGGAGGTGGAAACATTATGCTTTGGGGGTGTTTTTCTGCTAAGGAGACAGGACAGCTTCACCGCATCAAAGGGACGATGGATGGGGCCATTTACCGTCAAATCTTGGGTGAGAACCTCCTTAAAAAGCTATGAGATATTGACCGTATCTGGAAATATATATAACCTGGTCTAGGCCATCATCTCCTATGAGCATCTTCCATTGTGTTCATTAGTCTCAAATAAATGTTTAGATTTTACCATTAGCTACCCTGGTACCGTCTACCTTCCTAGAGAAGTAGATATCAATGCAATTAAAACGGCATTCAATAGTGCATTCAGTCAGCAACACCATTAGCTAACAAGTAATTGACTAGCCTATTTAATTAATTAATAAATGATAGCCTAATAATACTAATGATAAAGTAATAATAATAACAAACTTCCCTTAATTAAACAAGCTCATAGTTTAATAAGAACAAAAGAAGGAAGAGGAATTCGTTCATGAAGCTGGCTTCTTAATCGAATATCAGGGCAAATCCCATTCTGCTTCATATTATATACAACAAAATCAAACAGAACCACCTCTCAATATTTTAATCCCAGTCTGAGAGCCAGGGCGAGGCTATAGTGGCTCATTAATCTTTCAATCTTGATTATTCGGGCCATATTATGATGGTCGTCCGACCCGCTCGAGTCATTTTCCCCCACTGAGCTCTCAGCTCCAACATAAAAAACATAAGCCTAATAAATTGAATCATTCATGGGGAGGAAAAAGAGAGGTGTCTTAGGAATCTTTATCCTGAGAGCGGACAGGCACCCAGACACCACATCAATGTGAAAATCTAAACAGATTAGACCCATACAATCGGCAACAGTTGACCGTAGGTGCGCTCGACCCCATCCGCCTCGAGCCACCGGTCGGCCGAGGCCCCTGCCCTTGGCCAAAGGGTTTTTCCAAAATAATAATATTTTTTTTTAAAAACTATTATAAATAAATCAGGTCTATGATGAGTCATATATTATTTTCATCAACACAAAGAATGTATATGCAGTTAGCCTATATTGTCCTGTTTGAATGACATGACGCATGTGACCAGAGTGCAATATTCACCGTTAGGCTACCTCGCCAATAATTAATATCCAGTTGAAATACGTAGTCGTGCAGCATACTTAAGAGGGAACTAAACAAGAAACTAAATAATTCCTTCACGTCATTACATCATGAGTCATGACTGCTATTTCCTTTAGTCTTTAGTGAGTTCATCGTGCAGGTGTTGGACCATTCTTGATACACACGGGAAACTGTTGAGCGTGGAAAAACCCAGCAGCGTTGCAGTTCTTGACACACTCAAAACGGTGCGCCTGGCACCTGCTACTATACCCCGTTCAAAGGCACTTAAATCTTTTGTCTCGCCCATTCACCCTCTGAATGGCACACATACACAATCCATGTCTAAATTGTCTCAAGGCTTAAAAATCCTTCTTTAACCTGTCTCCTTCCCTTCATCTACACTGATTGAAGTGGATTTAAAAGGGATCATAGCTTTCACCTGGATTCACCTGGTCAGTCCATGTCATGGAAAGAGCAATGTTTTGGACACTCAGTGCATATCTGTTAGATCTCTAACCCTCTAACCCACCCCGTGCCCCTCCAACTGTCTTGCACTACCCCAGGACCTAGCGATGGGTACAGATGCAGAGGGGGAGAAGATCAAGGACCCCATGAGGGCCATCGTACCCATCCTGCTGGATAAAGACGTCACCGTCTTCGACAAGATCCGCATCATCCTGCTATACATCTTCATGAAGAATGGTGAGAGAGAAATCTATTTTCTGTGTCTGTATTTTACTATGTACATAGCTCCACTTCTCCGTTACCATTACAATTCTGATTCTGTTGTGTGGGTGTGTGCATGTTTCTGCATGTCTGTGCATGTTTTCATGCGTGCGTGTGTGTTTTTCGGTGTATGCGTCCATGTCTGTGTTTGTGCATGTGTGCGTGTCAGGTGTTTCGGAGGAGAATCTGTGTAAGCTCCTCCAGCATGCTAACATCCCTCCTGAGGACAGTGACATAATCGCCAACATGGCCCATATGGGCATGCCCATCATCACGGAGGTGAGATCCTATAGTAACATAGTAAAACCAGGACATATATTCATTAGGCACTGAACAGAAGAAAACGGACTGTAACAGGGAGGGACTACTAGCTAACTTGTCCAACAAGCAACGCTTGTTTTCGTTTTCTGTTGCAAAATGTTTTGCTACAGTGTGCTCTAATGAATATGACCCAGGAACCCTTGTGGAACCATCTCACAACTCTCTCACACACTTTAACGTGGATTGGGGATCCATTTTTGGGATAGTGGCATAAATATGATATCCGCAGTGTATATATGCTATCTGTGTCCAACTGAAAAATATTTCAGTGCATCAATCATCTACTGTACTTTCTAGGGGAACCCGACCCGCAAAGTGAAAAAGACTGACCGGAAGGAGCGAGTGAGTGAGCAGACCTACCAGCTCTCCCGATGGACCCCTCTCATCAAGGACATCATGGAGGCAAGTCCAGTCTGCTGTTGTAGACTGTTATATACTTGATTTGATTAGCGAGTAGGGTCTATCATACATTAATTTAGTGTGGGTTAAGACTGGCATAAAAAAAATGGTCTCTCCCTTCTAGGGTTCAGACAGGGTATGGACATGAGGCTAGGGTTAGGGTTAGGGTTGAGCCGGGGTATGGTTAGTCCACTGACCCAATTTTGTATCTCTACAGGATGCCATTGAGGACAAACTGGATCCAAAGCAGTACCCCTACATCACCCAACGCACAGCATCCACCCACAGCAGCGCTCCATCAAGGTATACAGATAAACCCTATTAATTTTACATCACCTCTGTGCTCTGTCACTTCTGAGTTTCCAATGACTTACTGACATTTTTCATTTTAGGTCCTAGTGGAGGTAGGAACAATACTTTGGTTTGATAGTTTGTATACTGAACAAAAATATAAACGCAACATGTCTAAAGTGTTGGTCCAATGTTTCATGAGCTGAAATAAAAGATCCCAGAAATGTTCCATACGCACAAAAAGTGTATTTCTCTAAAATGTTGTGCACAAATTTGTTTACATCCCTGTTAGTGAGCATGTCTCCTTTGCCAAGATAATCTATCCATCTGACAGGTCTGGCATATCAAGAAGCTGATTAAACAGCAGGATCATTACACAGGTGCACCTTGTGCTGGGGACAATAAAAGACCTCTCTAAAATGTGCAGTTTTGTCACACAACACAATTCCACAGATGTCTCAAGTTTTAAGGGAGCGTGCAATTGGCATGCTAACTGCAGGAATGTCCACCAGAGCTGTTGCAAAATAATTGAATGTTAATTTCTCTACCATAAGCCGCCTCTAACGTCGTTTTAGAGAATTTGGCAGTACGTCCAACTGGCCTCACAACTGCAGACGTGCATGGCATCGTGTGAGCGAGCGGTTTACTGATGTCAACGTTATGAACAGAGTGCCCCATGGTGGCGGTGGGGTTATCGTATGGGCAGGCATAAGCTACAACAAACAACGAACACAATTGCATTTTATCAATGGCAATTTGAATGTACAGAAGAACCGTGACGAGATCCTGAGGCCCATTGTCATGCCATTCATCCACCGCCATCACCTCATGTTTCAGCATGATAATGCACAGCCCCATGTTGGAAGGATCTGTACACAATTCGTGGAACCTGAAAATGTCCCAGTTCTTCCATGGCCTGCATACTCACCAGACATGTCACCCATTGAGCATGTTTGGGATGCTCTGGATCGACGTGTACGACAGCATATTCCACTTCCTGCCAATATCCAGTAACTTCGCACAGCCATTGAAGAGGAGTGGGACAACATTCCACAGGCCAAAATCAACAACCTGATGAACTCTATGCGAAGGAGATGTTGCGCTTCATGAGGCAAATGGTGGTCACACCAGATACTGACTGGTTTTCTGATCCATGCCACTACTTAGGTATCTGTGACCAACAGATACAGTTGAAGTCGGAAGTTTACACACACCTTAGCCAAATACATTTAAACTCAGTTTTTCACAATTCCTGACATTTAATCCTAGTAAATATTCACTGTCTTAGGTCAGTTAGGATCACCACTTTATTTTAAGAATGTGAAATGTCAGAATAATAGTAGATAGAATGATTTATTTCAGCTTTTATTTCGTTCATCACATTCCCAGTGGGTCAGAAGTTTACATACACTCAAATAGTATTTGGTAGCATTGCCTTTAAATTGTTTAACTTAGGTCAAACGTTTTGGGTAGCCTTCCACAAGCTTCCCACAATAAGTTGAGTGAATTTTGGCCCATTCCTCTTGACAGAGCTGGTGTAACTGAGTCAGGTTTGTAGGCCTCCTTGCTCGCACACACTTTTTCAGTTCTGCCCACACATCTTCTATAGGATTGAGGTCAGGGCTTTGTGATGGCCACTCCAATACCTTGACTTTGTTGTCCTTAAGCCATTTTGCCACAACTTTGGAAGTATGCTTGGGGTCATTGTCCGTTTGGAAGACCCATTTGCGACCAAGCTTTAACTTCCTGACTGATGTCTTGAGATGTTGCTTCAATATATCCACATAATTTTCCTTCCTCATGATGCCATCTATTTTGTGAAGTGCACCAGTCCCTCCTCCAGCAAAGCACCCCCACAGTATGATGCTGCCAACCCCCTGCTTCTCGGTTGGGATGGTGCTTGCAAGCCCCCCATTTTTCCTCCAAACATAACGATGGTCATAATAGCCAAACAGTTCTATTTTTGTTTCATCAGACCAGAGTACATTTCTCCAAAAAGTATGATCGTTGTCCCCATGTGCAGTTGCAAACCGTAGTCAAGGCTTTTTATGGCGGTTTTGGAGCAGTGGCTTCTTCCTTGCTGAGCGGCCTTTTAGGTTATGTCGATATACAGTAGAACTCGTTTTACTGTGGATATAGATACTTTTGTACCTGTTTCCTCCAGCATCTTCACAAGGTCCTTTGCTGTTGTTCTGGGATTGATTTACACTTTTCGCACCAAAGTACGTTCATCTCTAGGAGACAGAACGCGTCTCCTTATATGACGGCTGCGTGGTCCCATGGTGTTTATACTTGCGTACTTTGTTTGTACAGATGAACATGGTACCTGGCTGATTTCTTTTGATTTTCCCATGATGTCAAGCAAAGAGGCACTGAGTTTGAAGGTTGGCCTTGAAATACATCCACAGGTACACCTCCAATTTACTGAAATGATGTCAGTTAGCCTAGCAGAAGCTTCTAAAGCCATGACATAATTTTCTGGAATTCTCCAAGCTGTTTAAAGGCACAGTGAACTTAGTGTATGTAAACTTCTGACCCACTGGAATTGTGATACAGTGAATTATAAGTGAAATAATCTGTCTGTAAACAATTGTTGGAAAAATGACTTGTGTCATGCACAAAGTAGATGTCCTAACCGACTTGCCAAAACTATAGTTTGTTAACAAGAAATGTGTGGAGTGGTTGAAAAACAAGTTTTAATGACTCCAACCTAAGTGTATGTAAAGTTCCGACTTCAACTGTACATATCTGTATTCCCAGTCATTTGAAATCCATAGATGAAGGCCTAATTTATTTATTTAAATTGACTGATTTTCTCATATGAACTGTAACTCAGTAAAATATTTGAAATTGTTGCATGCTGCGTTTTATATCTATATTTTGTAGTAAATCTATAGACGCTCTACAAACTATTGAAAGATTATCCTAACATGTCAACAGGATGTCTTTTGACGTTCAACAAGAAAGTGTCTGTAGTCCATCCACAGATGTTCAACAAACTGTCAATAGACTATTATCAACATCTCATCAGCTTTTCTTTAGCCTTTCAGTAGCATCTCAACAGTATGTCTCATCATAGATGGACTATCCAAATAAATTACTTGAATATCTTCCCCTCTCATTGCAGTGCCCGGTACGGTAACTGGCACAAGAATAAGGGCCCCACAGAGATGAAGACAGGTCCCAGAGTCATCATCTTCATCATCGGAGGCATGACCTTCAGCGAGATGCGCTGTGTCTACGAGGTCACACAAGCCAATGGCAAATGGGAGGCCATCATTGGTGAGTTGGCAGCATGCGTAGGGTTACATGTGTTACCCTTTTGTGTTCTGTTTTTCTTTAACATGGGAATATAAGCGGAGAATAAATACATAGGCCTAGGCAATATCAATGGGCTGGATGCATCAGTTGGATGTATGCCTGATCATCAAATAAAATACAATTGTATTTGTCACATGCTTTGTAAACCACAGGTGTAGATTAACAGTGAAATGCTTACTTATGGGTCCTTTTCCAACAATGCAGAGTGAAAGATAAAACATAAAAAATAAATAAAAATAGTGACAGGAATAAATACACAGTGAATAACGAATAACAATAGCAAGTTAAAATAATATGGCTATATACAGGGAGTACCAGTACCGAGTCAATGTGCAGAGGTACGAGGTAATTGAGGTAGCTATGTACATATAGGTAGGGGTAAAGTGACTAGGCAACAGGATAGATAATAGACAGTAGCAGCAGTGTGTTCGGTGAGTGTGTGTGAGTGTCAGTGTGGTGTCAGTATGCATGTGTGCGCATGTTGTGTGTGTGTGTGCTGGGGTGTCAGTGTAAGTATGTGTGAGTGTATGTGAATAGAGTCAGTGCAAGAGAGTTAGTGCAAAAAAGGGTCAAAGGAGGTAGTCCGGGTAGCCATGTGATTAGCTATTTAGCATTCTTGTTTAGCAGTCTTATGGCTTCGGGGTAGAAGCTGTTCAGGATCCTGTTGGTTCCAGACTTGGTGCACTGGTACCGCTTGCCGTGTGGTAGCAGAGAGAACAGTCTATGGAAGGTGTTCAGTCCCAGGGTTCTGAGCTTGGTGATGAGCTTGGAGGTGTTGAATGCTGAGCTGTAGTCAATGAGCAGCATTCTTACATAGGTATTCCTTTTGTCCAGGTGGGTGAGGGCAGCGTGGAGTGCAATAGAGATTGCATCATCTGTGGATCTGTTGGGGCGGTATGCGAATTGGGTGTCTGGGATGGTGTCTGGAATGGTGGTGTTGATGTGAGCCATGACCAGCCTATCAAAGCATTTCATGGCTATAGATGTGAGTGCTACGGGGCGATAGTCATTTAGACAGGTTACCTTGGCGTTCTTGGGCACGGGGACTATGGTGGTCTGTTTGAAACATGTTGGTATTACAGACTGGGTCAGGGATAGTTTGAAAATGCCAGTGAAGACACTTGCCAGCTGGTCAGTGCATGCTCTGAGTACGTGTCCTGGTATTCCGTCTGGCCATGCGACCTTGCGAATGTTAACATGTTAACCTTACTCACATTGACTACGGAGAGCGAAATAACACTGTTGTCTGGAACAGCTGGTGCTCTCATGCATGGTTCAGTGTTGCTTGCCTTCGAATCGAGCATAGAAGGCATTTAGCTCATCTGGTAGGCTCGCGTCACTGGGCAGCTCACGGCTGGGTTTCCCTTTGTAATCCGTGACAGTTTGCAAGCCCTGCCACATGCGTCGAGTGTCAGAGCCGGAGTAGTAGGATTTGATCTTAGTCCTGTACTGAAGCTTTGCCTGTTTGATGGTTCGTCGGAGGTCATAGCAGGATTAGTGTCCCGCTCCTTGAAAGCGTCAGCTCTAGCCTTTAACTCAGTGCGGATGTTGCCTGTATCCCTGGTTTCTGGTTGGGGTACCCACTGTCACTATTAATGAAGCCGGTAAACTCCTCCATGTTATCGGATGAATCCCATATTCCAGTCTGTGCTAGCGAAACAGTCCTGTAGCTTAGCATACGCTTCATCGTACCACTTCCGTATTGAGCGTGACACTGGTACTTCCTGTTTGAGTTTTTGCTTGTAAGCAGGAAGAAGGTGGTGGTTATGGTCTGATTTGCCAAAGGGAGGGCGTGGGAGGTAGCCTAGCTAACGTTAGCCACCTACCTAATGTTAGCATTAGCCACCTAGCTATCTTGAATAATTCTATCTATACTTAGGAACTGTGGAAATCATTAGAATATACAGTTGAAATCCTATAGTGCTGTTCCGCTGTGTCTGACTCGGCTGTTGCTGCTGCTGCTGCTACTGGGTGGAATCTGCTTAGTTTGTTAGTGGGCTCAGATCAGATGGTGTTTCTGAGAATGTATCAGATAGAGGATGTGTGTGTTGTGAGTGCAGAGAATGGATACCACCAGGGGCAGGGACAGGGACACAGTTATTCTAGGAAGGTACTGAATTACATTGATCTACAGATCAGTTATCTATTACAGGCCAAGTCTAGGTCAAGTTAAATGACTTACCTGCATCTTAAATGGCAGCCTATTCCCTATATAGTGCATTACTTTAGGGTGCCATTTAGGACAGAAAAAGAAGCTCAATTCATGTTATCTGGAGAACATCCTTTCACACATGTTAACTCCTTTTACATTCATATTTTCTTTTGCCACTAACATTTTTCTTTCAGGGGACCTTACCATTTTATATCAGATAAAGTGCGATGACTCGATCTCCACTCGGAAGACAATGGAGACCTTACACAAAAACAGAGAATGAGATTAGGGTGCAATGTGAAAACCTTTGTCCCTCCTTAGGTTCCACCCACACACTCACTCCCACCAAATACCTAAAGGAGCTGCAGCACCCTGACTTCCTGGACCCCAACGCTGCTCCTGAAGAACCAGAACCTACCCCTGCAGAATGAGAACATACGCTGAGAAGTTAAGATAGTTGTTGTGATGTGAACCCACCTTCTCTGATCTCCCTCAGTCTCACCCCACCTCCCGTCCTCAGGCCCTGGGCCCGCTTTTCCGATTGCGATGGAACTTAGGCTTTCGAGTGTTTTAAAGATGCATCGTTCCTACAATTCCTACAATGCAACATGCATTTCCAAAAACACTACGCAGAAAGAACATTCACTAAGTGCGTCGTTGTGGCATGTGTTGATACTGATAGGATCAAAAGAAAGGCACAGCTGCTCTCGGATCAGCTTTCTCCATTCAAATCTTACCTTAACATTATCATTATTCCACAATACTGGTGACGGATCAGGTCCAAGAGAGATATTATCAACTTATGGCTGCAAATATTGAGGCGGCTTATTCTAATACTTACCCTGTAGCCTAATAATGCACTAAATCACAGATTTGGCACATCAATGCGCACATGTTGTTACACATCATTAAATATTTTAAAGCAAAAAACACAGACAGTGTAGACTTCAGTTAGCAAAATAGAACTCAATCGACTAAACATTAAATTAATTTCAATATGGTTGAAATACTGTATATGCAGAGGCCTATGTAGCCTAGAGGCCTTTTTTTTATACAGTCATCTCGGTTTTCGGTTATCCTTCACTTGTTTGTAACAATTGCAAAGACATTGCCAACTTTGTATTTGTAGTCAACTTCATTCCGAAGTTATGGGGGTCATAGAGAGACAGATAAACAGCTTGATTCTATGTTTAGCAGAGATCTTCTGTGTATAAAGTGACGCGGAAGGGCAAAAAAATATCTAACGATGCACTTAGCTTGTTCTGAGGCAGTCGGTAAATAACGAGCGTTTTCAAGTGCAACTTTAGTAACAATGGTTTTGGGAAACCGCTTGGAGATTTAACGATGCTCCTACGAAGATTCTAACGATGAACTTAATATGCTTTCGGGAAACCGTGCCAAGGGCTCTAAGTCCCCTGTTGTGCATCCCAAATGGCACCCTGTTTCCATTACAGTGCACTACTTTTGACCAGGGCCCATAGGGACGCAAACTCTGATTCCACTGTTTATGAGCTACCCCGTTGTTTCTCAGGGTTCAGTGGATTGGTTGTTCTCATTCCTTGTGTGTACTTGGTCGGTGATGCTGTCGTCTATTCTGTTTATCTTGTGTGTGGTCTCTGTATCTGTCCTTCCGAGATCTGTTCTTGTGGTGTGCTGTATGTAGACAGTTGTCAAGAGCTCCTTTTTCTGTATTTACAATCCACAAGGCAATATGTCTGTACTGTATTTAGCAATGTAATATTTATTGCACAGATGTTTTTTAAATTAAGCCTTTTTACCCCTGTATGTTTTTGTCGTTTGGCTGAAAATTACATGGTTTAGAGAAGCAGCAGCTATTGTCATTTCCTGCGTTGCTGCCCGTGCATATCATGTTGACTGGCAGAGAAATTTTATATTTCCCTGAATATGATACTCTTTCCTGGACTAAAAGCTGAACCCCCATGTCTTTATATGGGATTTCTGCTGTCTGTGTATTTCTCTCAATGTCATTCCAATTTGGAACTGTACTGTACCATAATTAACAGACGAGTCCAGTTCAAACTGAGAAGATATGTGTAGGCCTATGTTCAAGTTCTCTCTCTCTCTCGCTCTCTGCTGCAGGATCAACCAATATCTTCACCCCAACACGCCTTCTTCAAGCCCTCAAAGAGATGGATAAGCAAGAAGATGTTTGAGCTGAACAGCTAAGAGCCCCCTGGCTGTAGTTGTCCCTCTCCTAACCTCCAAACTCCCCCATCTGGCATACATGAATAGTAAGGATCCGAGACATAACAAACCCTTCTACTCTATACATAACAGGACAGAAGAAAACAAATGGCAGCATCTATTTCTAACATATCCAAGTCATGTATTCAGATATCATGTTTCAATCGAATTAAATAAGATCCTTCAAAACCAGAGCACCAAGAACCACATAATGTTTGAACTACTGTACATACACCCTGATTTGATTGGATGGAAGAGTAGAGATTGAGTTTGCGCTGGATAACTGTTGATACTATGAGCAGTGGATGTACACTGCCATCTCAGGATGCTGTTGTTGCACGTCCTTAAAAAGGAAGCCAATCAGGAGATTCGATTAGTGTAGGTGGAAATTGAGGAATGATTTTGGCTGGTGATTGGTGTAGAGTGCTCATCATATTTCAGATAGTCAGGAATATAAAGGCACCAACTGTGATGATAGTGGGATGGGATCTATGTATAACATTCCCCCCTCAAAAAGATTGATAAGATTCCTGTGTTTCTAAGACTGTATGTTTTTAGTATCATATAACTTTTGTCTCATTGCTTGTAAACATTCCAGGAACATTGAGCAAAAATACCTATTTATTTTCAGTATTTGGAAAAATAATTTTAGAATTTGGAAACATCACCACCATTTTAAAATAAGAGACATCTTCCGTCTCATGCAATCAGTAGTTAGTAGAAGATATGCCATGCTGTATCAATGTTTTGATGGTGATTATCCTAACTTTGGAAATGCCAACGTGAAGCCGCTCTGTACTAGTGGTAATTTTAGCTGTAGTAAACAGTACTGTAGTTGGACAGTGATCAAGCATTGGAAAGTTCTTCCTCTATTAGTTTAGTTGTCTGCCTCTGTTCATTAACATTATGTCACTATATTGATTTGATTTGTTATTTCCTCTCCCTGTAGTAGTTAAAGTCATTTTCCAGTGCAGTGTTGACATTGTCATGATGCAAACTCATTTGTTGTCATTGTTGCTGTTGTTGTATAGTGATTTGTTAGCTTTCTATTAGAGTGATCTATTATTTATTAAAGATATATTAATTCTGTAATACCTGTATAACTTATCAGAATTTGATGCTTGGAAGTGATTTATCACAAACAGTACCCTTTCTGCCAATATCATGGACTACAGCTCCAATAAAGGCTTCAAATAAAAGTTGATCTTGTACTGTTACATTACTAAATGACTATTGTAATATGTATAGTGCATTCGGAAAGTATTCAGACCCCTTGACTTTTTCCACATTTTGTTACGTTACAGCCTTATTCTAAAATTGATTAAATTGTTTGTTTTTTTCCTCATCAATCTATACACAATACCCCATAATGACAAAGCTAAAAGTTTTTTGTGTGTGTGCAAATTTATAAAAAATAAAAAGCTAATTAATGTAATACATTTTAGAATAAGGCTGTAACGTAACAAAATGTGGAAAAAGTCAAGGGGTCTGAATACTTTCCGAATCCACTGTATCAGCAAACAGTTTCAGTCATTGACGGATGGATGGATTGGACTGCTGCTGATCTGGGAGGCCCCTTTTGATGTTACAAAAAAGTTATCTGGAGGGTCCAAACAAAATATCTGAGAGACTAGCACATACATTTAGTATGGGGTCCCCTGAACTAAACTGTAAGAGTTTGTGATAGTAGGACTGTAATAGAACTATAATATTGCAGTACCACTTACATACCTGGTCAGTTGTACAACTGAATGCATTCAACTGAGATGTGTCTTCCGCATTTAACCCAACCCCTCTGAATCAGAGGTTAACTTCCTTGCTTAGGGGCAGAACGACAGATATTTATCTTGTCAGCTCGGGGATTCGGCCCAACGCTCCTACCCGCCAGGCTACCTGCCGCCCCATATTGCTGGATAAACATAATCATCACAGCAGGCCGCAGGACTTGGCTTTGCTTTAGACACAGCCAGGGGGAGCCAACATACTTCTACAGCATTTGAATATTGTGGGGGTTGCTTCAAGAAATGAAATATTTGGGTGAATGGTAGGAGAACTAAATTAATACTATGTTTTGTTCTACAACTGGATACCCAGCAGTGCTGCAGCTTCGACTTGCAGCTATATTTTAATGTGTCACTAATTATCTCCTTACGTAGTGAATGAGTGAATGCATAGCTAAAATAGAACTCCTGCCTGACATAATACAGAAAAGTGCAGTACATCGAGTCATATGTGCTATCCTATTTGATAGCTCTATAATACTAGTCTCTCTGTGGAGCACTGTGAAGGAAGCTCAAGGCCAACTGAACAGTGTCAACCACCCATTTGTGGTGACAGCAGAGGAGGCTGGTGGGAGGAGCTATAGGAGGAAGGGCTCATTGTAATCAAATCAAATCACATTTTATTTAAATCACATTTTATTTGGCTGGAATTGAATAAATGGAACGGAATCAAACTTGGTTTCCATATGTTTGATACGGTTCCATTTATTCCATTCCAGTCTTTACAATGAGCCAGTCCTCATATAGCTCCTCCCACCAGCTTCCTCTGGATGACAGTATATTCTTAATTGCCCCTGAGGATGATAAATAAAGTTGTCTTGAAATGAAAATTGAATTGAGGACATTTCAGTGCATCATGAAATGAAAAATATCTCAATAAAAGCTGTATTTTGAAATGTCATAGCTATACAACCAAACCAGGCAATGAGTTGGTCAATCTTTATTCAATTCACTTCAGCGTTGCATTGTTATGCACTCTATTGACTTGAGGAATATGTCTCAGGCCTCGATTCAATCAGATCCAGTATTAACCGGTGATAGCCGACACCCGCATAGCTGATGTTTTGCCGGTGTTGGAGATGCAACTGCGTTGGAGCTGTCAAATCGGTGAGCAGCTGCTCGTGATCATTGTCAAGAAGCCACATCCATCCCACTGGCGTTAGAAGTACAGAAGGAGAAAGTGTAGGCTTTATAGAAATAATGACGCTCAAACTGAAAATCATTCAACGAAATAATGAGGATTTCTGTCATCCTAATCGAGGTGTAGACTACATCTCACATTCCAGTGTTCAAACGTATAAATAAGGCTGCATGGGATTTCTCTTAATGCGACTCCATACAGCCAATGGCAATGTCCGCTTTAAGTATAATGCCAAAAGCCGCTGGTGGATTTGACAGCTCCGTCGCAGTTCCACCTCCGAAACTGCCAAAACAACCCCTATGCG